ACAGGAAAAAAGACCGAGGCAATCCAAGCGGCAATAAAAACTACCTTGGACAGAAACTCTCCTCACTGAAAGCTTTCGTGGTGCCTCCAAAGAGTCCTCTAGGATATGAGTTGAGAAATACAGTTATCTTGGTGGAAAAAAATCACGCGTAGGGTATAATCGTTTCCAAATAGTAAACTTTAAAACGGGGAAGTAAAGCACCCTAATTTTGCATAAAACAGGAATAAGCTAACGGATCCAATTCAACAGCCTCAAAATATCCCAGTTATCGGCATATTTTGTTTAATAGATCTATTTTACCACGAAAACACCTGTAAATTCTAGTGATTTTACTTCGACTGGTACGACTCACTATTTGCTGAGATATTTGCTTGAAGTCGAAGAATCCAAGAAACACTTTCAGTCACTTCTGAGCCGTGGTCTATTCATATCGTCTACTTTGCCCACTGTTCTCAGTTCACGTCGAGTGCTACGAATTAAAAATCTAATCGACAACAAAACAAGAAAAATAGAAGGAAAACCGAATAAGGATTTTCAACGCATGTCAGACAACCGCAACCAAGCATTATGCATTCGCGGATATCATCACGTCTTAACGAACGAAATCTCGCTTACCCAATCATCTGACTGACTGAAATATGAACTTGAACAAAAAAAAAAAACGAAATCGAAGTCCCATTTGCCGTTAAGAACGACTTTTTGCGTGTTGAAATTGGTAAAGAGCAGAGCTGTTTGAAGTTAAAAGGGTGGTTTATTTTCGGTTATATATGTGCAGACGACTCGCAGTGTCCAAGATGTATTGAGAATGAAAAGGCGAAATTCCAACTGTTTCAGAAGTACTAGGTAGCACATCTCATCCTCGAAGGGTTTCATAGAAGAAGTCCGAAAACCGATGTAAAAATTAATGTTTTGTTTGCATGTATATGATCCATCGCGTTAAAGAAAACAGAAGTGGTGAAGAGGATAAGTTACTGAGGACTGTTAGTAGCAGATGATCTTATAGTGCAGACCTGATTAGATCTAGCGCCTCTAATCAACGAAACCCAAGAATCCAAAGTTCTAAAAATTCAAATCTAATCAACGCTTGGTAAACAACTCAATGCTGAACGATGTTGGGTAAAAGTCACTTATACATTCACATAATCCTTATCAGGGTTCACTGAAAACCTTCACGAGTACTGGAGTGCTCATGGAGGAAGCGTATGACTCCACTGCTGTTGTGTACACCTCGTTCCTCAAATCGATACTTGGCGGCCAGACTCGTAAACAAGGCCACGAACTCGAGTGCAAGCTCGGCTAATTCTCGATTCTAAACAGCTTATGGGAATGTGAGCTTTACTAGTTCTCTTAAGTGATGGTGAGAAGCTTACGGAAAGGGTACTCTCACTAGCTCCGCCTGTTTCGCCATAATTTATGAAGTACACTGTCGCAAGTAATTGAAATTTGTAAAAAAAAACTTTGGCTAGGCTGGCCTAAGGACTCCATGGAACCGCAATAGCTAAACCAGCAAAATTCTGAAAAAAAGTGGAAGTTAGCTGGGGCCCGGACAATTACTGCAGACGGTCCATCCAAGTATCCAAGTAAATAAAAGCTAAAGAGTTTGAGTACTGTTGACAACCTTAAGTTAATTGAGTGGTCTTACATGAAGCAAATTTATTTTTACAACAAATGTAATCTCCTTCCATCATACGATGTTGAATACAATGCATCACAAGTACGTTCTTATGGTAAACTGACAATGGAACAGATCACTATTATGTTGGCAGATGCGCCTCTTTCGTTCGATTCCCTCTACATCCTTCTTTTAATAAACACAACAGTTTGTAGTGTCCATACCTTGTGTACTCTTCCAATTACTCTGTGGATTTTGCGCGAAAGTTGGAGACCTTTCTTCAACAGGATAGTTTCTCCCACTGTATGGATGTAAGAATTCGTTAGGAAAAAAACCAACTGTCATAACCATCATCGAGAATCGTAAGAAAGGAAGACTAGCATGGGCTATAGTCAGTTCTAATTCTCTACTCATTGCCTCCGTAACTGATCTAGAATAAGAACGAATTAATTAGGAAATGTCAAGTTCACTACAATCTACACGACCAAACACCTCCATAACCAAACAGAGAAAATGCTGAACCAAATTTTTAGTAAAACTGAACACAGAGTCCTTGCACACTCACCTCTTTCTATGAGTCTTCCACTAAATATGTTACTTGGAAGAGTTCACACGGAATCGTATTGTGCTCATCTCATCGAAATAACGGGCTTATATACTGCCCAGTATCACGCGTGATAATGAGGCATTATTCCCTGCGGTTCATTTTCAGATTCCTGAAATTAATCCAGAATGCCTCTAGAGTTTTGCGCGCTTGTGTTCTCGATTCTTGCGCGAGGATCGTAACCGCTACTTCAAAATCTTCTCCGTTATGTCTCTGCATCCTGTGCGTGCCTAGTGGAGTATTTGATTTACGTTTGCCGATTAGGTGTTCCTTTATACGTGCGCAGAGTGGTCTACCCGTTACAGTTACCCGTTGGTCTACAGATTCTTAAGAAGACAGTAGAGAGAGGAGTCCCGGAACTTGGCGCGGCAAATAGCCACCTTTAATGGCTACGAAACTGTAGCTCGAGATAGGTGTAGAGGAAACCACAGGTACCCCAACGATAATTCTAGCGACAATAAGGTCCCATTTATACTGCCCTTCATTTCAAATGAAGTAAGTGCAGCTATAAAACGCTGTTTAAGAAGGGCCGGTCTAGAGAATTTGGTAACGATAATTGAAATGCCACCGAGTAATCTAAGACGCCAGCTAGTTCGTAACCGCCTTTACGACCGTCTATGTGCAACACAAAATTGCATAATTTGTCCTAATGGCAGAGACAGTGATTGCATGAACTCGGGTACAATCTATCTGATCTCTTGTAAAGCGTGCGGGGACGAATACATTGGCGAAGCGGGTAGACCACTCTATGTCCGCATAAAAGAACACCTAGTCGGTAAACTTAAATCAAATACTCCATTACGTATAGGACGCAAAGACATAACGGAGAAGAGTTTGAAGTAAAGGTTACGATTCTCGCACAAGCAAAAACACAAGCGCGCAAAACTCTAGAGGAATTGTGGATTAATTCCAAGAATCCGGAAATGAACCGCAGTGAAGAATGCCTCATAATGACGTGTGATACTGAGCAGTATACAAGCCTGTTATTCTGATGAGATGGGCACATTACGATTCCATGTGAACTCTATGCGGTTGGTCTCCACGTGACATATTTAGTGGAAGACTCATAGAAAGCGGTGAGTGTGCAAAGACTCTGTGTTCAGTGTGATTGAAATTTTTGTTCAGTATTTCCTCTGTTTGGTTATGGAGGTGTTTGGCTGTGTAGATTGTAGTCAACTTGACTTTTTCAGTCTCTGAGGAAGGCGAAATCCGCCGAAACGTCAGCTTATACGTAAATAAAGAAATAAAATAAAATAACACCTCGTGTTTGCTGAACATAAGCAGAAAGAATTATTCAATCAATGCCAAGGTTAATAGACAATCGGACGTGGGAATTAATCAGGTTTCACCGTCGCTAGTCCTTTCCCGATCTCCACTCACAACCTTGACGCGTTCCTGTGGATAAAACCATGTTTACCTGAGCAAAAAAAAGCTTAGTACATTTGTAACCCTCCATACTGATTCTAATGCGGTCATTACCAAAAATAATCCAGACTCTTGTTTCAAAGAGAGAAGCGATACATATGTGAGACACCTTTCATCTGGATGTGACAACTTTCCCCAATACGATGTTATTGTTTGCTAATGTTACATTTGCATTAAATTGTAAAGATATTTGCAGCATTTCCCAGCTTCTTGAGGTCTGAACGTTCAGCAAATTTGTAATTGAAGTGATTCGGAAGAACTAGCTTTAGTTCTCAAGACCGACCTTGTATTAACCTCCCCAATAATCGCTAATTCCCTGTTTTCCTTTTCAACACACATGAGCCCATTACCGTAGTACTTATTAAGAGTAGCTAACATTTCCACAGATTTCGTCTTCTTAAAAGCCTGGGAAGGGTGTGTGTGGCGCAATGGTGAGAGCTGCCCTGCAACACACATAGTTTCGATCCCGCCCCCCAGATACACCGAACCTCCCATCCCCCGGGTTAGACAAATTGGTACCAAACTTGTCTAGGAGGATAGCAACACTGGCTAGATACATCGCTAGCCCACCGCTAGTCATTGTAAAGGCCAGATAAGGATTCGATCACCTCTAATGATACCTGAGGGCGAATGCATAGCGCATCACTCAAGGATTGACCAACGCGGAGAACTTTATCCCTCATCCCTTAAAAGCCTGTAAAGGTTAATTCGAGTGCGATCTATTCACTTAAGCTGCTGATATGCTTAGAGCGATAGGTTAATGTCGACTCATTATCTTATTTTCTCAAGCTCTTCACTGCTTAACGCTTTAATATTAGAATATCGGCAGTTGAAATCCGCTTAGTCACGAAAATGTTGAAACGTTTGTTAAGAACGTAATATCAGTGCTAGACGATAATAAGACATGAGCAGTAACTGATTTTTACTCTATAATTGTTTAATTTTGGTTATGCTATGTGCTCGCTCAACTATTTCTTTGCATGAATGAAGCTTAGAGGTATAGCTCGTGAAAACAATGGTGTATTTTGAAACTCATCAAAATATCCGTATGTGTGGATAGTCATACCCAAGCATCGGATTCTTAAAACCGAAAGAGGTTCTCAAATTAAAACCAAACAATCATCGTACTATCAAGATTTTTCGGCATTTAACCGCTATTTCACTGCGCTATCATAAAGTAAACAAACAAACATTTAACTACCACTTGAAATTAATATAAAACTGACGGGAAAACACCACAAAGATGTTCTCTCCGTGAAAATTGGTAACATTTAATCGATATAACGACGAGCAAAACAAAACAGGCGATACCGACGCTCAGGGAAAGTTACGGCAAAGGTTAGTAGGCAAACAAAATGTTTAGGATATTCGTTCCTTCGGTTCCATAATCACAACTGAATTTCCACGAATCACAACCATTCCGAGTGATACTGGATCTCCATTTTTGGGATGCTCGACTGCGTCCTAAATAGCACAACCATCATTTTAAAACATTCACTCCTCATTGGTAATCAAATGGTGCAAAAAAACTTAAATCTTATTCTAATATACTCAGAATCACACTTGGTTGACTGCCCAAACGGAGTTTGCCACCTTACAAGAATGAAGGGACGCGGCAATAGTTGTGGTTAGAGATATCGTACAATACACCGCCAGAGGTTCAACCCTCCTTGGCCCTAGCAAACCTCCCATCTCTCCGGGATTCAGTAATTGGTATCAGATTAGTCTGGAGTGCATTGTCATTATCCACAAAAACCTGCGATCACCTATGGTGAAAATCTGGATGGGCTCTAATAGAGCTATTCCAGGATCCCAGATAAAAACAACTCGACCAACGTCCAACGACAGTGACGAACACGAAATCAGCAAACAGTAGCCGAACAAATGGAGCCGTATAAATAAGTGATAAATAAATAAAGTATGCCAAAGAGAATAGCTCTAACATGCAATGAACTTGCTCTTTGTAAAACATAGTGGAGACTCATAGTGGAGACTTAATACACAATTACGCTTATGAGATGAGACCACCACGTCCTAAAACTTTAGCCACATTTTGGAGCGAAACCAGGTTTCCGAAATGGGTCAACCAGACCAATACGTATATTCTATCGAGTTTATAACAGTATCCCAAACTGGCGTAGGCACTAACTCAGTATGAAATAGACGTATATAATCGAAGTAGTCAATCGATACGATAAGTATTTCGTGAGTTGCCTATAACCTTCGATAAATGTTTGGAGCGTTGTTGTGACTACCTTCCTCGCAAAAACCTCTGACAGAGTGACAAATTGTTGATCTGCCAGGTTACTAAATAGGCCTGTTTCGTCGGAACTCTAGCAGTTTGGCGAACACTGTGAAGCAACACCGACATGGTATGGCAAAAGGTATGAACACTCTTCACTATGGAGCAACAGTAGAAATTCTACACTGTCCACTTCCATAGTACCAACCCAATCGAAATCCACTTAAAATCGAACCATGAAATTATTACCACTTGTTGCAATCACGCTCATTTGGTATGCTTTGTTCCCATATTCTTCACGACCAATTGTTGAAGTCGATCAATGAAAATGAAAAGGCAGAAGACTACTGAGTACTAACATGAAGGATCGAGAAGAGACGACCGTTCCAACATTTTTACAAAAACTATTTATGGACAAATGTGCTAAAAAGTACCGAAAAAACGTATCAATTTGACCTTTCAAAGCTCTGATGGCGAAACTGTCGAAAGATTGAAGGATAGAGGATAAAGATCTCGCCGTTGATCAATCCCTGAGGGACGCGCCATGAATTCTACTTTATTAAGCACCGTTAGAGATGATTGAATGCATATCTGGCCTTTACAACGATTAGCAGTGGCTTACCGATGTATCGAGCCAGTGCTGGTATCCTTCAAGATAAGTCTGGTACCAACTTACCGACCCCGGAGGGATGGAAGGCTTGGTGAACCTTGGGCGCGAGCATCGACCCCGTGTGTTTTCCAGGTCTTCTCTGACCACTAGGCATGCGCCCCTATCGAAATATTATGAACTGTTAAATAAAACTTCAATGAAAAACTTCGTTTCAGTTCAAGAAGAATACGCTAATTTACTGATCAATGCCGAAGTAAACAGAATGTCGCGATCCTGAGGATAACCACAACAGAATTAAAACACAGTATGAAAAACGTTCAAAGCTTTTGCCTCTGTCCACTAATTCAACAAAACTTTGAAGAGATCTTTCTGCAGAATACCTGTTCAAAAGTATAAGTGGCGAAATACAAGTGACCAATTACAGCTCCATAATTCTCCTTAAAGATAAAGCTCACCTCGATGACCATGTTCATAAATGGGTCGAATCCGCGAAGCACTCCGGACACACGACGATTTCCGTTCAGCTTTAGATCCATCTCCTTGTCCATGTATTTCTTCAGCTCAGGAGGGTGCGTCTTACTCATTTTCTGTAAGCGAATGATGTTTGTGCTTCACACCAATGACGAGGATTTGTAACGACAACTACGATAGGCATCCAGAACGAAGTATTCCGAACCTATTCCAGCAAATACTAGTCCGAAGTAGAAATTAGAGGAAACTGACAATACCAAGAAAACAAAGCACATACCCAAACGCGTTAGTGTTTGAAACACGGCAAACATGAAAACTCGTCCAACATCCAGCGTCGAAGTTACGACAGCTATTTAGGGATGACTTAACGCACATATTCGCCTTGGTGGGTTCTATTTTTTTGTTCATTATTAATTGGTTCTGAGATAGCACTAAAAGCTGACTAGTGATTAGTAAATCTTCTAACCTTTACCAAACACTAGTTATGTTTTATATCTTCCTCGACTATTAAACAAACACGAGGTTGCTAAGAAGATTTATTAGGCTGGGGCTGATGTTCGTTATTATTATTACTATTATTATTATTATTATTGCTATCGTGTTATTATTATTCGTTACCATTACTTATTATGACTACTTTTGTCCACGTTTATTGGAAATCGGCTTGGGGAACTGTTTTATGTCATCGGCCGTCCTCATTTCCACGGATCTTCCGTTGACTAGTGGGTTATATATGATCGTTGTACTTCTCTGAGTAAAGCTGACTTAAAAATGAAATAGGACTATTGGATAAAGATACATTACAGTTCAAAAGAAATCTATGCATTTTCCATGAGGACATGTGTTATAATCACAATCTTAACCTTTTTATTTATTGCCTATTCTTTTTAACGACAGGGTATTTTGCGAAATATAACTACAATAATGCTGAGATATTTGCAAAACTCCGGGCCTGTTGACAGGTGATTGCTGATGGCAAAAAATTGTTAGAACTAGCTGAGAGACAGGCGAAACGAAGGACCCGCATGGTGTGGTGGTGAACGCGTTACTACCCGGAAAGGACAATAGCGCGTTCGTTCCCCACCGCAGACACCTGTGGTCCGGAGTGTTGCAAATATCTCAGCATTGTAGCAGTTATAAATGTGTTATTTGGAATCATTTGGCTTTTTTGCTCAATAGGAACGAAATTTGTAACAGAATGGACCTCAATCTTGAGTTAGTACCAGAGCTGCATTCGCCACCTCGTTCACCCCAACTATTTGACTTGTTAAGTTGTAAGATCTAACAGTATACGAGGTTCTTATGGTGCTAGTTTTGTATTATATCCATACATTATCCAGAAAATATAGGAGTGTCCAGAAATACTAGCTGTCGGGATTAGTGAAGATTCAAGTCCGAGGATCGCATGCGCTGGTGTAATGTTTAGGATGATGTGTTACAACTGTGTTCGGAACCAGGAATGAACCACGAGAACGTTGTTGTGGTGATCTCTTTTGGAGAGGCCGTCTTATTTAGGAAGGAACTATGCTACACTTCTAAAGTTCATCCATAGGTGAAAATTTTTATCTTGTAATCCGAACAATCGGGTATTCCGTCCCTTTCACGCTGCAAAACTGTCTCAAATAAGCAAGGTGTTCATCCCTGCCGCGTGGTAACGTATTAGAACGAAGCTGTCCAATTAGCCGCGCTCATTTGCTTGACAGAAAACACGTCATGCTCTTCGTATCCTTCATCGTCTTTATTTCTCCTGTTTTTTCTCATTAACGATCTACGCACGGGGGAGAAGTACCGGAAGTATGCGGTGCTTATTTGTTGGTTAATGTGCTGTTCATGTACTTCTCAACGGTTTGTTTTCAACCTTTCAGCTGCAGAATACTATCCGCATAATGTGACTTTTTATTTACTGCCTATTCTTTTTCATGGCAGGGTATGATATGAAATACAACCACAACGATGCTGAGATATTTGCAAAACTACGGACGCCAGGTGTATGCGGTGGAGAACGAACATGTTATTACCCTTTCAGGGACTAATGTGTTCATCATCACATCATGCGCGTCCTTCGTTTCATTTTTCTGTCAGCTATTTTTTATCTACCAGTGCCATTACTAAATCATCTGTCCCTATCAGCATAGATGTGAACAAGTAATTACGTGGGTAATCTGTTGTAGTCTGGCAGAGACAGGGATACCCATCTCCTAAATCGATCTGCTTTCCTTTGGAGGTAAATAGGTGATCTTAGGCCGCACTTAACCCTATTCCGCATTCTTTGAAAGCGCTCACGTTCCGTAGCGATTGGCATTCATGAGTGGATGGGAATGCTCTTGTAGGATTCAGCATTGGAGCTCGAGAGCTTATACAGGTGTACTCATCGTTGCCAATAAAGTGTTAAGTGAACAAAGTCACGTACTTCTTTATATTATTGTTGAGCAAACACGTGAGGTCACTTTATTCTTCATTGACGGAAAAGCTGAAGTTTCGGCGGATTTCGCTTTCCTCAGAACCTTGAAAGGTCTAATTAACTGTAGTCTATTCAGCGAAACATCTCCATAATCATACAGAGAAAATGTTAGACCAAGATTTCAATCACACTGAACGTAGAATAGTTTCTTAGCACACTAACCGCTTCCTCTTCAATCGTGTAAGCCTGTCAAGAACTTCGTAACTTACTTGTGTTCTGTTAACAGAGTGGTATAGAGCCAGTCAAGAACCTAGTAACTTGCTTGTTAGCAGTTTCAGTCTAATCCGAGCGAAAGATTTTTCTCTGCGTTTTTGCAATAAACGCTGATACAAGGATTTCTCGTTTGGTCACGGTTATTCGTGTCATGCTAATTAAGGAATCTGTGAAACGATGTTTGTTATAACAGGTAAAGAAACTGATAAGGTTTACTGAGCTTTAAATTTCAGCTGCAGTGTCGTCGTTGAACGTTGTGCTAAATATGATTGGCAACCAGTTAGAGAGTACTTCCACTGTTGGTTCCGCTGAAGCTGAACTTGCCACCGGTTCTCCATCATCGACGTCATCACCTACCAATGTCACTCGGTGAGTTTTCTTTCTGTTTCCATTATCATTTTAGGGCAATATTTGCGAAACATTTGTGTTTCGATATTATGGAAAAGGTTTCTTGATAGAATTGAAGTCTTTATAGGCACGTACCTCAGGAAGGTCGTCCAGGTTTATAAACCTGGCCCATGATATTTGCATGTTTCATCAATACAGGTTTTCGAAGACTGTCACCATCTTTACCTTCTTTTCTATCGTTATCGAGCTAGTGATATTTGTGGAGAGTATTCCAGTAGAGTAACTGAAACAGGCTTTGGTACGGCTCTTAAGTTTTCCTTGGTGTGTTTTACATGGCATTTTTGTCCAATTTTCCACGATTGTGTTCTGCCTAATGTAAAGAGTTTTTTAGCACCGTACTTACTCACTTGGTTACTTGTACGGCTCGTCCTTACTGGTTGTACGGGGCTCCAGTATATCGTAGTTTAGGTGGTTTAGCATTGTGTTTGCCTGGTATCCTCAGGTCAGGTCGGCCAAAGTTTGCCCCAAGCAGTCGCCGCCTTTATGGATCAGAGGGAGATTTTCCATCATGCGACTAGTTCGATACTAGTACGGTGGCGGGTCCTGCTATTGGTTTCCTGGATTACCTGATGGAAACGCCTGACTCTTTCACAGTTTGGGAGATCCTGCTGAGGGGTCAACCCCCTCCCCCTTCTCCCCATCGCTCTGTATCGCTGCCCGACACCCAAGAATACCTCCCAGCCACGATGAGGCGGTAAGCCGTTGGGAGGTTCTTTGCACTGTAATCTAGAATGAAGGAATAGTTGAAAAACGCTTAAGACACTGGCATGTTTAAATTAATTACGAAATTCGCGTGTTTCTTCATAAATAAGATGTATTTAGATTTCAATTTTCAGTGGAGAGGAACTTGACGCAGATGTGGCCAGTGATCAGATACTCAGCGGTTTATTGACTTATGAAACCATGTTTCAAAATCACCTCAAAGTTGTTCATTTGGTATGTAACTTTTTTTAGAATAAGAGAATCATATGTTAATTTATTTTACATGTATTATTAAGATATTCGAGCTTCATGTTATTCCCTTTATAAGAGCACTTATACTTTCTCCTACTATTCCAATTTACCTTTGGTTCGATGTTTTCTAGGTCTCTATTTCTTCTTACTTCCTTTCGTTGCTTTCATCATCTGGTCACTGTATTTATTGCTATCGGAGTTTGTTGAGCAAAATTTTAGGTGATGTAAACACAAGACCCTTCTAACGGTTTACCGTCTTTTCGTGACTGGGAGGTGTTGCTGGGTGTCGGGCTGCGAGACACAGCGGAGCGATTCATTCCCTTGGCAGCATCTCCCAAGCTGAAAAGGAGTCTGGCGTTTCCATGAAGAAACCCAGTTAAGAGTAAACCAATACCAGGATCCACCATCGTCCTGATATCGTACTAGTCGCATGGTGGCAAACCTCCCTTTTATCCACCAAGGCGGCGAATGCATGTGGTGGTGACGACCTGGGGCAGACTTTGGTTAGGCTGACCCTGGGACCCAGGGAACCACGGTTGCTAAACCGGGAAAACTCCGAAAATGTGGAGATTATGCTAGGGTCCGCACAACCGTTGAGGACGGGCCATCAAAGTATCAAAGTAATTAAGAACGCAAGATGCAAAAACAACATCTTTCCAGACTCGGGAGCGCTTAGAAGAAGCTAAGCAAAATGCTAGTAATCAAAACCATGAAAGACATTACCAAGACACTCTTGCCTCGAGAAACGTAGAGGCAGTTACTGCAATGAGCCTACTATTTTCCGAGTATAAGAGCAAGCATGCTTCAATTATCGGAAGCTGGAAAAAGGCTGGACTTAATGAGTTGGACCGCTACAGGTTGGTTACAATTTTCATAACTATTCAATGAACATTTAATTTTTATGGTGTGGATATGTCGTTCGTTAATAACGTTTTAAATCATAGTTTCATTACTTCGAATTTTGTCTAGTGTTCCACTTTTTGCGAATCTCATCTTGCCAATTTGGTTTCCAACTTCTGATTTTTTAGATTTAACATCTTCTTTACTCAGGCAGAGTGAAGTAATTAAGTGGGAGTA